GCCCCGCTCCTCCTCCGCCGCCGCCTCCTCCGCCTCCTCCTCCCCGGCTGCTCCGGGTTTCTCCAGCTGGGAAGGCGCCCCGGACCCCGCCGCTGCCACCACCACGTGGCGAGGGGCGGCGGCCCCCGCGGTGCGGCCCGGCCTGGCAGCGCGCCTGGCGCCCACCGGCTCCCTGCAGAGCGCCCGGCCCGCGCTCCGCGCCCCCTCCCCGACGCCTCCCCTGCGCAGTGTGGCGTGGTGGCGTGTCTTGGGGGCGTCTGCGGACAGTCCAGGGACTCAGCTGGTGCTTTGGATGTTTGGTTTGGGGCTGTATATTTTGGAAGGAAATGGGACTGTTTATTTGGACTTTTTTTTTTTTGGTCTTTGCTCTTTTGAGAAACTGTTAGACTTACCTTTTCCATTGCTCTTGGAGAAGGGGACATTGCTCTAATAAATTCACTGAACATAGGATGCAGTCAGATTAGTTAAATCTGTAACTTTTTTTGGAAGTAAGAGTAAGGAGGTCAAAGGTTCATTTGGGAAGATGACAGCTTTCTTGCCCCCAGCCAGCCCCGTCTCCCATCATGCAGAAGCACAGAGAAATGAAGAGACCAGAGAAATGAAGAAACCACAGATTTCATCCTTTGCACAAAGATTGTTTGAGCACCTGCCAAACTGCTGGTCAGGAGAAACAAGTGTTTTCCCCCTTTCCCACTATGTGACCTTGGGCAAGTAATCTTAACCTCTCTGAGTTAAGTTGGAGATTATTCCCGACCTGGGCACCCTCATGGGAGAAGAATGGGGATCAAAACTGACCGTGCCCTGTGAATGTTCAGGGGGTGTTAATGAGTCATTTTGATTATTCCCAGGTGGATTAAAAAATGTGGACGCAGGCCTCATCAGCCTAGCTGCAGGTAGGGGATGATCAGGGGACACTCTGGAGGACTCTGGCTTAAAAGCATCCTCCAGGGACAGCGAGGCAAACCCTGGAAGCAGGGTATAGGCTGGGTGGGGGCCTTTGGTAGGTTCAGCGTTGATCTGTGAAGGAACCTGAACCTACCTTTCTGGTTCCTGAGGTAGGAGTGGGTGAATCTGAGAGAAGGAAGATGAAAGAAAAGGTTTCTTGCTGTCTGTGAGCTTTGAGAAGCAGCTGCCATCCTTCCCACTATAGGGGGAAGATTGGACTGAGGGGTAAGTTTCTCCTCCCAGGAGAGCCAGCGGAGCTCTGGACTCTTTCTCTTCATAGAAGGGAGTTCTCACTGGCTTCCTTCCTCTTCCTCCTGCTGGGTTCCCTTTGAGTCTTTCCTGCCAGAGCCTGCTCCTTTTTTTAGTCCAGAACAGGAAGGCAGGTCAGCCACTTGCTGTCCGAGGCACTGGCTTTCTCTGAGCCATGTGGGATGAACTACCTACCCTCTAGATATGAAGGCAGACTGGTTGGGACATCTGTCACCCCACTAATCCCAAGGACTAGGCAGATGTTCCCTTCCTTAATGCTCCCAAGTTCTCTTCTGAGCAGGGGACCAGGCAAAAGATTAGAGGCTAGGCTAGAAGGTGTGGGGTTGTCTCTGGGACCCTTAACCATGGAGTTGGCCACAGACAGGACCTGTGAAACTGACCGGAAAGCCCTCCCTTCATGGAAAAGGCAATGGATCCAGAGACCTCTGAGCGCACACTCGGTGGAGGAGTTGTCAGCCTCTGTTACTGCTTGGGTGCTCAGGGTATAGGCCTGTTTCAACCACATGGCAGGGTGGAGCCAAATGGTTCTACCTTAGGTTCTAGGGAATTGGTGGCAAAAGTCCAAAAGAGATTAGGCCTGGTTTAGGTGCCTTAAAATGTTACCTCTCCCCCAATCTGGACCTAACCTCATTGCATTCTCCCTGTTTCTAGTTCTGCTGCTTCTACCAGACAGTTCTGAGAGCAGGGACTATATCCCACCCATCTCTTTATACCTAGGTGCCCTGATGGTACCTGCTCATTATATTAATAATTTATTCAGCAAAGATTTCTTGAATAGTTATTATGTGCCAGATGCTGAGAATACAGGGATGAACATGTCTCTGAAGGACATGTCTCTCTTGCCCTGAGGGACCTTGCAGTCTGGCAGATGAGTCAGAAAAATAAACAGATGAATAAACAAAACAATTAGAAATTGTGAGAAAGGGTAAAGAGAAACACCAAGGGGTGGCACTAGAGAAGAATGGAAGGTGGGACCTGCTTCCCAGTAGCCAGAGAAGTTCTCTCTGATGAAACTTGTGATTGGCTGCTCCGAAGGCAGTGAGTTATCTCACTTGATTGTTGACAGTCACAGATTGAACTCCTTGTTCTACTTTACCCCCTAATCACTACTGCACTTGATTAGTCTTAAAAAAAAAAAAAAAAGAAAAGAAACTTATGATTTAAGCTAAATCTTAAAGGGTAAGAAGGCACGTTGTAGGCTAGGTGCGGTGGCTCATGCCTGTGATCCTAACACTGTGGGAGGCTGAGGCAGGGGATCACTTGAGCCCAGGAGTCCGAGACCAGCCTTGGCAAGAGTGAGATCCAGGCTCTACAGAAAATAAAAAAATTAGCTGGGTGTGGGGGTGCGCTCCTGTGGTCCCGGCTAGAAGGATCACTTGAGCTCAGGAGTTTGTGGGTACGATGAGCTATGATGATGCCACTGCACTCTAGCTCAGCAACAGAGTGAGACCTTGTCTAAAAAAAAGGCATATTCTTTGTTGAATGAATAAATAAATGAAGACCAAATGACTTTGGACTAATTACTTCATGTCCTTACGCCTGTTTCCTCATCTGAGAAAACTGGACATTAGTCTGAATCCTTTCTAAGAACCCCTGATATTATCAGGGCTCATCATGGTGGAGACAGAAAAAGGTAGAAACTCGTGCCATGGTGAAAGGGGAAGTGAGGCAGGAGCTGAGGCAGAAGAAGGAGAGAGGGGACCATGGTGGACAGTGGTCAGGCATGAGTTGTAAAACATTTCTAAGTGGCCTTCACAGGCGCGGTCGGAGAGGACCTGTCTCCAGTGTTACAGTAGGAGAAATGGCGCAAAAGCAGCCCCGAACTGCCCCTGCAAGTGTTTCCTCCTTGGAAACCATCAGGGAGAGAAGGTCTCCCACTCCCATGACTCTTGCTCTGGAGAAAGACTTTGTCTTCCCTGTCCCATTCTTGCCTGAAAAGAGTAGGAGGAGGTGGCATTAGCAGCCGGTAAAGAGACTGAATCAAAATAAAACCCAGATGACTCAAGTGGAATCTGGCAGGCAGGAAAATTGATTAGACCTGTGTGACGATGCAGGATCCAGGTGCTGCCTTTGCCCTCCAGTTCTAGACCTTAGAAAATTAGGGTTCACTGTGGAAGCACCCCAGGACTCCAGCTGCAGCTGCAGCCCTTCCACCAGATCAGAGGTTAGGGCGGTGGTGGAAAGACTCATGCCTTCACCGAGTCCCCAAACTCCTGTGCAGGGAACGCAGAGCCTCTCACTGAGCAGGGTTTGGGAGGAAATAGAGTGTTTTGTTTTGTTTTTTAATAACTATGTATGCCTCATTTTCTCCACAACCATGTTCATTTCTGCTACCTCCCAAGAAGAATTTTTAAAAAATTGTTAATATTGAATTATTGAATACTTACTGTGTATTATCTGTTAGAATATGAGCTCCACAGCAAGATTTTGTTTGCTTAGGTCACCGCTATACAGTCCTTGAACAGTGTCTGGCACATAATCAATAGCTGTTAATTAATTAATGTGAGTTCGAGGCCCTGTGCTAAAAACTTTTTATGTATTATCTTTCACTAGGAGGCCTGCTCTACAGATGAGGAAACTGAGGATCAGAAAAGTTGAAGAATTATCCCAAGGTCATACTCAAAAGACTATTTTGAAGGGCAATGCCCAGAAAATAGCAGGCATTGCTTATTGCCACAGAGAGCTAGTCATACAGAGCCATTTCTTCATTCTTTTTCCCTCAGGATGGTGACAGGCTGCCCCTCTGCATCTAGAGCTCAGGCTGTGTGCCAAAGCTGAGATGTACTTTCCTTTCAGACAAGAAGGTACATTTCACACTGAGGACAGCTCAGCTCAGGAACTTGTGGCCAAGGAGTTCCTGGGAGAGGGAGCCGCTCAGGCTTCAAAGGCCTCCTGCCTATGCTGTGCTGAGCGACATCGGCTGCCTGAGCTGGGGTCATTCAGATGTGGAGCTTACTCAGCAGCCCAGTGGCCTTTCTGACCACCAGGCACCAACAACCACCCCTCCCTGAGCCCTGGTTCCCAAAAGTTTCCAGCTCGGAGTGAAAACGGAGCAGATGTACAAGGAGATGGTTTGGTTCAAACTCCAATTAGGAGGAAAGTTGATTTCAGGGGAAAATGTCACACACACATGCAATTGCCAAAGGTTAA